GAGGGGTGGGCAACTGCAGTACTTCATGAGAAGACATTGACCAAATGCAGAACTAGATTCATCAAACTATACTTCTTAATCCCACCTGTAAGTCCCATTGTCCATCACAGCAATAGTCATGATTTCAAAAGAATTGGTTATTGTGCCAAAAAGAAAATCTAGACAAGTTAATATTAACTAATAAACTAAACATCTTATAACCTATTCTGAAGAGAACAAAAAAATAGTTTGTTTAAAAAATAGCAATAAACCTAAACTTTAAACCACAGAGTAGCTCTAAAGTCATACTAACAGTCATTAAAATTGACCGGTAAAATCTCAGCCATCTTGAGTTTTCTTAACTTAAGGTCCATGGTGGCAATCAGTCCTGAGCAGAGGTTGTCATCTGCTGTGTGTACACCTGAACAGATGCTGACTCTGGTGAAATAATCCATTTAGTTATCAGTGTTAAATATGATTGATAAAATGCACTATACAAAGAAGACAAATAGGTTCAAGCAAAACATAGGCAAAAGGGAAATATATTAGTTTAATGTCTCAATAAAATTTAGTTGATCTGATAATCAAAATGTATAATGTGTATCATGGAGGACACTTTATAAGTTAGACCGCAATTGAAAAAATAATCTATTTGATAAAGTGCATCTGTTGTGCATAAAATCTCTTTAAAATAACCATAACTTTACAGTCAAAATTTGAACACATACATTGTATGTAGCAGTGCAAAAGTCACTGTGCTGAGGCACACTTTTAAAATTAAATGGGGAAAAATATTCACAAGTATGTGCAACTTATAACTCCCCAAAGAGAGTAAGTCTGTGAAGTCAAAGAAAGTTTTAATTGAGGATTTAAAGGAAAAAAAAAAAAAAAAAAAAAAAAAAAAAAAAAAGGTTTATTGTAGTTTTTTAATAGTCTTACTTTTGGCTGGAAGTTATAAGAGTAGTATTATAAAATTTAAGCATCTCTTCTACATGTTCCTTGAAGATTCCACTATGCTCATCCTCTTCCAGCTGAAATCAATACCAGCACACGCTCCCTCTTCTGTGCAATAGAAATGTCACTACCAACTTCCAATTATAGCAGCTAAGAGGTGCAGGACCAAGACTGTTCAATGATGGTTGGTTAAAAATTTTCAGTTACAGTGGTTTTCTGTTAGCCAGACCAGCCAGAGATTGGCACAGGTGCCTGGGCAGGTGTTCCTCGAACAGGGGCCTGGGCTACCAGGAGAGTGTGAGTGCGGGACCTGGCCAGTCCCAGGGAGATCCTGGGGTCTGCCGAGAGACCCATGTGTGTGCATGTGCCTACAGTAGATGCTCAGCCTTGTTGCCAGCAGGACCGGCAGGCATGGTGGAGCTGCAGCAGCCTTGCCCCTGCTGGGCTTCCAGATTTGGCATCTCCAAACAATTTCTATTTTCTGCCAAGCAGCTTTATCCCAGTGAGTGCCACAGAGCTGCTGACTCTTCCTTGAAACAGAAATCTGCACATTTCTATATTTTAAAGCTAATAAGCCTGTTTGCTCTAATGAGCACTTAGACTCCAAGGTGCAAATATTTACTACTTAATTGTGATATTTTCTTTGTCTTGTTGTTTCTAAATTGAGCCTATTTTTGGCACACTGATGGTTTTTGGGACGTGGTAATTAGGCTGTAATTCCAGAAATATTAGACAGCCTTGATTCATTCTAGTAGCTCCTACTTTAAGACAGATATATTTAAGAAATGCAAGTTATTCCTCCCTTATTCTGTAGAAGTGAACAAATTTTCATTTTATATACTTTCCTTCACACATACCTTCATCTATATCCATTCAGTCAAGGTACAACTGCTCATAAAAACCCAGATTCATTCCAGCTACTGTTAACTGCTTATCTAGTGTAGAAGCCTTGTTGCTGTAGCAACTACTGCCTGTATGGAAATGTTTTTCAACTTGTGATCCATAGATCTCTGTACACACAGTCAGTTCTTGAAAGATCTGAGGACGACAACAAAGAAAAGCAAGTTTATTTTTTGCAGATTTAAATAATAGAAACTGCAGTCCACATATCTATTAGAAAGGCCATGATAAGACCAAAAACTAAAACAAACATCAAGAAAACATTTATTTTTTTTCACAATCAACAGGGGAGACAAGATAAAAAGGCAATTTAGGCCACCATCCTAATCACTGTCTGAAGACATCTATCACCTACCATCAATGATTAAGGGAACTTCAGGTGAATAAGCCTCTAATGCAGATATCTTAAATAAACATCTAAGGTTATATGGAGACTTCCATGGGAACTTTGTGACATCCTCCAGGTAAGTCAGGATAAACTACAGTTTCTCAAAATACTCTGCAACTGAGAAAGGGCTCTTCCCTTAAGTTTCTGTTATATTAAACTGTGGTAGAAGAGAGACATGTATGATACATATGAAATGTTTAAATATCCTAATTCTCATACTTGCATCACAGAGAAAAGGGAAAAAAGCTCACTCCAACTTTGTTTTCCAAAATTAATTTGATTGTGAGGAAAAACATATGTTCATAAACCATTAGAGTACAATTCTCTCATTCATTCTTTCAAGCAGTGGTTGGTAGCCTGAATTCTGATACATCACACGAGTAAGGAATGATAGATATATACATAAGGAATGATAGGACTGAAATATTATGGCAGGTGTTATGTCTTGCATCCCACAAGTAAGCAATTGTATGTAATACCAATATATTGTGGTAGGTGTTATTTCCAGCACAAAGAACAATTAATTGAGAAACATTATTATGACACATTTACTACCTGAAATACTTAACAACATGACTATAATAATAATCCCTTTTAAATAATTTTAATTTGTTTGATGAAACAATAATTGGAGGCTCACCATAATGCAACAAATGAAGAACAACACACCCTCTTAATGACTTTTTTTTTTTAAAAAAAATAAAAGAACATCTGTAGCAGGCTATTATAAACTGTATCTTTCTTTTAAATAATTACCCAGATGAATGTGTTGAGCAGTAAAAAAAGAAACCTTAACAATCCTGAAATTAAATCCAATTACAGAAAACAGCAAAATTAAATAAGCTTCTCAAAACTTAAAATCTTGTATTTTAGAAATGGTTATTGCCAGCAAGAGTGAGTCTCAGGTATAGGTGTTTCACAGAGTCATTTTTATACTGCAAGGGTTAGTAAAATTGTTAGGTATCTTCTAGAAGCTAACTACCTGGGTCAAGTTGCTCATGACTTTTACAGGCATTCACTTCCAGCATCACCACCTGGCAATTTAATATGAGTGAACATAAAATTCATTAGAGGTGTTTGGACTTGAGACATCAAAATCATTAGTCTTTATTGAAAACCTTGGCCCTAAACCTTTTCTCATGCATGAAAAAGCTTTGGATATAAATGCATGAATACATTGCCCTCAAAGAAAAGCCAGACCTGTGTCTTACCGATGTGTGACTAGTCACAGCAACCAGCTTGGAAGAAATTGTGTTCTTCATTGCAATGTGTATGTCTGTCTCTGTATTCACTTTCTTTTCTGTGCTTCTTCTCACATTGTTTAATAAAAATAATATTTTCATCGTTTCTTTTTCTTTTTCACTTTTCTTTGAAAAGTTTACAGTCACGCTCAAGCTGAAGCCATTTTTCTTTCCTAGGCACGACAGGGAAGCTTTCTTGTCTTCTTCCACCCTGTTGTCCGTCCGTCCGTCCGTCCTTCCTTCCTTCCTTCCTTCCTTCCTTCCTTCCTTCCTTCCTTCCTTCCTTCCTTCCTTCCTTTCCTTTCCTTCTGTCTTTCTGTCTTAGTTGCTTTGTATAGGCTGCTATCTTTATTTATAAAAAGAAAGATGTAAAGATAATCAGAGATTCTTTGTAAAATAAAGATATACGTGTTACTAGCTGACTCTTCTAATCCACTTTTATATTACTTCATTTATACTAGGTGTTACCATTTGCTTTGCTAGTTCTTGTATTTTTGCACATCCTCTTGAACAGGCACACACTTTGTTTAGATAATATTTCACTGTGACAAGTGAAATCACAACAGGTAAATTAATTGATCTGCTCTTTCCATATAGTCTTCGCTAGGCCTGTCTAAGCCTGTATTCACCTTTGCCACATCAAGGAAACACAAGATAGTAGGGTTGGGTATGAGTATGACTCAGTCCTGGTAAAGACTGAGAGTGAACTAATACAATGTAAGCTATACATTTGAGGTGTAGATGGGACTGTACCTAAAGCCCCAAATAGAAAATATTTCTTTTTCTTCAGGTCACCACTTTTTGGAGCTATCTGAAAGATGTGATTTTTTCCTTTTAAATATTCGTGTCATTTTTTGTGAGACATGAAGAAAAACATGGATTCCTTGTTGCTGTCATTTTCAGATAGTTTTCAAATTATTTTTAAAATAGAGGGCAACAGTGCAATGTTTTTCAGCATGATGTAATGTATGCTGCTGTTAGGAAGAAACTTAGAAGTAGTATAATTACAACCAAAACACTTTTCTTTCCCTATTTCACCTTCTCATATTGCTAAAAGGCTCCCTACGCCTACTAAAAATTGGTTCAGGTTAGAAAGAGAAAAAAAAGAAAAAAAAAAAAAGGCTCTGAGTAGTCATGTCATAAAACTGGAATAAATCCCATTTCTTATTCGTGTGAAGAATTTATTCACAGAACCAGCTAAATATGATACAGATCTTTTCTTTAACTAGAATTTACAACACCTCTAAGAATCTCATTTAACGCAGGATAAAGCTGAAAGACTGGCAAGACCTCTTGGAATTCAGGCACCAAAAGGTAAGTGAATGAATATGAGTCCTGATTTTTGGAGAAACTAGAGCATAAGTATTGGATCACTTTCTTCTGGTCTGTTTACAAGCTTACGTGACATGTAACTAAATTTAGCACAGTTTTACCACGAGAGGGCAGAAATGCTTATCAAACAGGTCTTCCACTGGTTGTTTCACCATGTCTTTGTCAGGACGGTGACCCAACGTGTTTTCCCTCTATAGCATTATGTGTTGAAGCATGTACCCTGAGCGCTTAACAACATGACAAAATCCTTTGACCCAACAGACTGACCTGTCGTTTGTAAGACAGATTAATCCCCATGGATGGTCACAGGGTCAGGGGCACTGCTGAACTGCAGCTCTGTGAGGCTGAGAGCACAATCAGAACTTCTCACTCACAGTCTGGCAAGAAGAAACAGCTGTGCCAAGCATCATGCTTGCCAAGGAAGGCTAATGGGTAAGTAGAGATGAGTCAGTGCTTGCTTTTTTTCCGTATGGTACATAAAAAGAGCAAGAAGGAAGATCTTTAGAGAGTTTTATTATTTATTATTCACAGCAATAACTTATTCACAAACAATATTTAAGCTTTTCTGTAAGTGAGACTAATTTTGATTAGACTGTAACAGTAGCCAGATCTGAACAGTAGAAGACTGTGCTAGACAGAATACTGTGTAGAAAAGTTCCAGACTATTATTAAAGTGAAACAGATTTGTGTGGAAAGTCCTGGTTAACTCATAAACAATTTATAAACTGAAGCATTTAGCAGAGCTTGATTAAAGGTTTAAATTCTTGTAACTGTTTGCCAACAAAATATAATGTTTCACTGTTCCACAAACCATGTTTTGGAAAAAAAAAAAAAATCTACCATGAGGCCACTCAGAGTTGTAAGATTTAATCAGCTAAAATTAAGCTCAATAACATAAGTGGAAATATCCTTTCTTTCACTTGTTTTGCTGTCTCATTAAGTATTTTCTTCTTTTAAATGGTAAAGTTTTTCACCATGCAGACAAACAACTGTGGAGTTCTAATAGTGACAGGATAAATGATATTAATTGGGAACAAAGAGAAAGGATGAAACAATAACCTTACTCTAGTCATAATGACACAGAGATAAAAATTGTATATGAGTTGTTTTCCATTAGCTAGGCCAATTAAATTATGCTTTTACCATGCCCTCTTCCAAAATAACAATTTTCAACAAAAATATCAGTTGTGCAAGTCATAAGAATTTTTACAACTTCTACCACCATAATGATGTGTTTTCCCCACCTATGAGGCAGAAAAGGGCATTACTTCCTATTGTGTGGCTTTACTGTCTCCCATAAGAAGCTCTTGACTTATACTTAGAGGGTTACATGCCTGCTAGGAGATCTATATTCTCAGTAGCATTTAACAGATCTCTGTGCTTCAGAGATTTTCAAGAGCTATGCTGCAACCACATGCTACCAGTGTGACTAGGCAACATGCACATAAAAGTATGAAAACCCACAAGATCACTTCATTCAACGTTTTCTTCTTTGGGCTTTTAACTATCCTGTGTGGTGTGTGGCTCTTTTTAAAGACTTAGCAATGGCCAAGGGGGGATTCAGCCCAGCTGAGCAACAAACCTGGATTTGTGCTGGAAAAGAAAAGGGTTTACCTGGACAGCATGCACTTACACTGAGATAGGCAATTGACATAAAGGCAAAAATCCTCTGTTTCGTGTGTATTTTAGGAGTTCACAAAGAAATCAACACAAATCAGAATGCCTACAGAAGGCACCCAATCCCCGTTTAGGTGGATTATACTATATCCTTCTTTGGGGAGATTTTTAATCTGTTGAAAAAGAAGGATTGTCCTTTAATATTTCTAGTGTTCATCCATAGCATAATATCACACACTAATTTCCAAAGGAGTGATGCATATGGTATCTTGCCCAGGGCTTCATACAGTTACACATGTGGAAAGCTTTTGTCATGCTTTGATGAAAGACCAGAAGGAATGACTCGTTGCCTTTCTTTCCTATTTCCTATAGCATATGAATATAACAGGTGCAGTGCTTAGGTCTGGGTGAATCTTGTGGGTTTGCTCTGATGGTTTTGCTTTCTACTAAAGATATATAGCAAAGAAATGGCAGAAGAAAATGTGTGCTACTGTTCTCTGTTTTCTCCGTTTCATTGCAAAAAGTACACTGCAAAAGCAAGTGAAAAGACAGACTGTTTTTGTTTTGGCATTTCTTTTTCTGTTTCCTTTTGAACAATGACAACATTCTAGGCACACTTATGGCCTTGTCTCTGAACCCTTATTCACATAATGAATCTACTCATTACTACATCCCTCTGGCTATAGAAATCATACCTTGATTTGTTGCTCAGTGTCTTTCACATTAGTGCTTCTAGGGAGATCAAATATAATCTCATAGGATGAAAATTCTCCAGCAAACAATCACCAGGTGATACCTTATACAGGGAAAAGAGCTCTAAAAAGACTTTTGTCAGATAGGGGCACATACAGTTAATGTTATTAAAATTCTTACATACTATCAGACCAATGAAGATGCCAGACATAAAAGAGAACTTATTGAGACAACAACACCAATTAAATATTGCTGTCCACAACTTCATTCCTACTCTTTTCCTAATCTCATAGATTGCAAAAAACATGATGTGAGATTATGAAATTCAATATTGTCCATCCAGAGTGCTGCTCCCTGAAGAGGAGTTAGTCTTCTTACTAAAATAATAGTAATTTTGCTGTAACATGAAGGTATCTGAAGATATCTACCTTTGACTATGTCAGGTGCTAGAAGCAGTTTAGATGCCATGGGCTTTTTATCTCAGCTGCATAGGACTGGCTCAATACAGTCTGTATGTATATGTATAAAGTGGTTGATTTAGGAAGGCTTTTAAGTTCACAGGTGCAGGGACAAACACTAACCATCTCCCAGTCTGCTATCAAACCAAAATCTGAGCAAGGATTTGTGTTATGAAGCTGTAGTTAAAAAAATTCTGACTTGAAGTGGCACTGAAGAGGATGCTATTTAATCCTAGTCTCTGCCATACATTTCAACTTTCACTTATTTTGGTGCTTGTGAGTAAAATCAAGACTGGAACCAGCTGAAAGTTAACTGAACAAACAGAATGTTGAGGAGAGAAAAGGAGAGGAGAGGACTAGCAGAAGACTAACAGCATGATGGCACTTCTCCTTCAGCAGTGCACCAGGTTTAGAATATTTTACAGTATTTATTAACCTGCAATCTGAAAAACCTGAAAAGTTTTATCTTTGTTGTTCTGTGTTGTGTTTTTTTTTTGTTGTTGTTGTTCTTTGTTTGTTTGTTTTTGTTTGGTTTGGTTTGTTTTAAACTTAAATGTGTATGACTTCTTATTCTGAAAGAACTATATTGTTTTATAATTTGACATATATAACACAATGGAATATAAATGTAACTTCTGAAAATATTAGTTCCTCACATCCTATCTCTCAGAGAAATTTTTAGATCAAGATGTATATAGTAATACCATAACATTTTGTATTACCTCAGGTTTTCCAGTATCTCACTTCTGAATGAGTGGTGAGGTGATATTTTCAGAGAACTGTGATCAACTGTGATTTTCAGATGTTGCTTTTATATAATTCAATTTTTTTCTTCCTCGTTATGAATAATATTTCCTTTCTGCATGAAAGTGTAGTATCTACTAATTTATTATAACTATGAGATCCTTTTATGGCATTACAGTCATAAGCTTTTAAGAGCTTTTGATAATGCACCTTGCTATAAGCATTTGTGAAAATATAGGAACACAGTGAATGTTCTATATTTATTTACTTCATATTTTTAACAGCTAGATTTATAAGGGTGAGTTTTCTTTCACAAAAACTGTGTTAATTTTTCCCTGTTATTTCCTATACATTTATTTTTCTGTAACTTCATTTTTATTGTAATTTCTATTAGCTTTCATGGAATTTATTAATTGCTCTTCTCAGCATCTTTTTTAAAAAGACAAACCTTCATCTTTTCTTGTTCTTTGGGCACTGCTGCCAAGGCATATGTTATACGCTACCATGAAACAGTTCCTCAGTTTCATATTGAGTTGCTTTAGATTTCTTAGGTGTTTACCACCTGCTCATGGTAACTGCTTTCAGTTCTTCTATTGACATTTTGAGTGAGTTTCTCAGGATTTGATTCTTCAATCAATAAGAGTTCAGTGCCACTGAAAGCGCCTATCTGTTTCTTCCACTGGCCCTCACTCTTCCATTTCTTATCTGTTTCAGGCTGCAGGGTCCTATTTTGTCTCCAGCATCAAGCTGACATTTTTTACATCCTTGCAGTAGACCAGTAGAGAGCACAGCTCAGGAATCCAGTAGAATTTCTTCAGACCTTTTCTTTCTTCAGACAGATTCATTTTCTTCTGGGTTAATATGCTTAATCAGCTCATGGAAATCTATTATATTAAAGAGAATGTAGGTATGTCATTCAATGAAAACTTTCAGAGAAATTCAGGAGATAAGAATACAATAATATTTACTGAGATCAGAGTTAACTTCTCTAGCTATCTTTTTTGAATCTCAGAACAGACCAGTTTCTGAGGAGTTTTAGCTGGCACCACAGAGAGAGCTGCAAAGAGATCAATGTGAAGGAGATTGTGGTATTTCCAGGATGCAATTGCCAGACTTTTCAAAAAGACCTGTTCAAAAAATTTAGCTCAGTTTTGCAGATTAGCAATAAAAATATTTCTTTTTTTTTTTTTTTCATAAAAACTTAAGCTTCTCTGTGCTTTAGTGGAACCTTTGATTTTGCTATATCTGATCTCTTCACTTTTGAATATCTTCCTAAAATTTAAAGAAGGTAATGTATTTAAGCATATGTAATGTAAAAATGCACGCCAAAGTTTTGTAAAATGAGACATAGGAACATTAAAGAGAATACATCCAAAAATGTAATCTTGAAACTATTATACTGAAATGTCTGTTCCTGGACAAATAAGCTCCATATATACCCCATTTTCCTAATGACAACCTCACATCCACAGAGATATGGATTCTGTAGTTTAGTCTCATTTTTTTCTGCTTATATAGCAAGCATAGAGATTAGACTGTTTAACTAAGAAATGAGAAAAGTCTACAATATTTTTTAATTTGAACTTGCAGCTTGAAACCGTTGGTTATCTGAGCTTTACTCAGTTTCCATGAAAATATTAAGCCTCATACCCCACAAAATATTCAAGAACTAATATCTCATTTAAGAGATACTTGGGAGAGTAGGTATTTCCAAATCCCTTTACAAACAGGGAGTCACAAAAACAGATATCACAAGGCCTGGATCAAGAAAGGTGATAATGTTTTTAAGTAAGACTTCGAATTTAAGAACCTAAAACTGAGCTCTTGAAAGCTCCTGCTTAATCTTCGGAGGTGCCCAGACTCTATCAGCACCTCATTTTTCAACTGCTGCATTTCCTCACATGCCTGAATTTTAGGTCT